GGACGGTCACCTCAGGGCGCGGCGGGAAGGCCGTGGGCACCCCCTCATGGGAACCCTGAGGGTTGGGATCCCCTCATGGTGCTATGTGGGGCTCGGCCCCCCTCACGGGGTGGGGAGGAGGGCTTTTGGGCCCCTCACGGTGCCATGTGGGGGCTTTGGGTCCCTTGTGGTGCCATGTAGGGGCTTTGGGTCCCTCGTAATGGCATATGGGGGCTTTGGGGGTCCCTCACGGTGCCATGTGGGGGCTTTGGGTCCCTTGTGGTGCCATGTAGGGGCTTTGGGTCCCTCGTAATGGCATATGGGGGCTTTGGGGGTCCCTCACGGTGCCATGTGGGGGCTTTGGGTCCCTTGTGGTGCCATGTAGGGGCTTTGGGTCCCTCGTAATGGCATATGGGGGCTTTGGGGGTCCCTCATGGTGCCATGTAGGGCCTTTGAGTCCCTCGTAATGGCATATGGGGGCTTTGTGGGTCCCTCATGGTGCCATGTGGAGGCTTTGGGTCCCTCGTAATGGCATATGGGGGCTTTGTGGGTCCCTCATGGTGCCATGTGGGGGCTTTGGGTCCCTCCTGGCATGATGTGGGGGCTTTGGGGTCTGTCACAAATACTTGCAACTGACCGAGGTCAGCATGGCTCAGTTGAGACTTTTCATGACGGGCTCCTGCTTGCCAGTTCTCCCCACCCCTCGTCTCACCCATGTTCTCCCGCTGGTGCTTGATGCTGGTTTTTCGCTGGCATAAACACGCGGAGCGGGATGGAGTTTTCCTCGCTGGCGCTGGGGTTAGGTCAGGATCAGGCCCAACGGCTTTGTGGGTGTGAAGCTGGCAAGGGAGATGAGAGTGTGTCTGCTGGGACTGACACAAACCGTTTCGCTGCCCTCAGCAGGTTTTGCAACATTTTTTATAGCAAAACCCCGGTCCCGTGGGTGGCGGTGACTTCACCGGGGTAAGATGTGACCTTGGCACTGTGGTCCCGAGCATCCTTTTGGTATCCACAGCTTTGCAGCTTCTGGAAAACTCGAAAAAGCGATTGGCCCTCTCCAAATAACGCGTGCTCCCGCGGCTCTCCCTGGACTGAACAAGAGCGGTAGTGGGCTGTTCCCAAATGAGCTGTCACTACAACGGAGGGGGGCTCACTGCACGTTCATTGCCCCTCCGCAGTTTTAGTGCTTGGAGCAGGAGACAAGCTCCTTCTCTCTGCCGGAGAGCTCAAGGCCAGCACACCCTACAGCTGCCAGGCAATGACATCTCAGAGCCGGTCTCATGACTCCTGCTAATGCCACAAAGAACCCTTATTGTATTAGCATCTCGACGCAGCATTAGATTAATCCCTCTGGCCTGTGTCGTACAGGCTGTTCAGAGAGCCTTGCTCCAGCGCCGTGCCAGCCAGCATATGCCTGGGAAGTCACCGAGACCTTTTCAGCTGAACATACGCCGGCCCGGAGCAATTCTGCATTATCCTCGTGACTTTTGCTTTTGTTGACATGGGAAAAGAAAGTCACTGGTGATCTGTCACTGGGGCATCGTGCGAGCCGATCC